GCTGGAGCCCAGGAGTTGGAGGTTGCTATGAGCTGTAATGCCATGGCACTCTACCTAGGGGGACAGCTTGAGGCTCTGTCTCAAAAAAAAAAAAAGAAAAAAGACTATACATGACAAAATAAAAATTTGACATTTCAGTACAACAAAACACTGACAAAGGTAACAAATGAGAAAAAAACTTTTTACCTAAATGACAAAAGATTAATATACTTAATCACATATATAGCCCTCACAAATCATGAAAATGTCACCACCACCACCACCAAACCTGTTCTTCCTGTATTTCTCCTCTTCTCAGTAAATGATAACAGTTTCTAACAGTTGTGCGGACCCAAATCCTTGAAGTCATCTTAAACTACTCTTTCTCTCACACACTCTATCCAATTCAGCAATATCTTTTGGCTTTACATTCAAAATATATGTAGATTCACTTGTCACTACTTCTACCACCACAACCCTATCTAAGCCACTAGCATCACTCATCTGGCATATCACAAGAGGATCCCACTAACTGGTCTTTCAGATTCTACCACTGTCCCCCAAATTCTAGTCTCCACTCACTACCATTAATGTTCTTCTAAAACATCGAGTCAAGTTATGTCACCTTACTCTAAACTTTCCAGTAGCTCCCATCTTGTTCAGAATAAAATCCAAATTCCTCACCTTGGCTCTAAGGCTCTGTATGGTCTGCATACCCACCCCACTCCTTGCTGCCTCTCACACTCACCTCCAAACTCTCCCCCTCACCTGCCAAACTATAGTCTTGCCTTAGGCAGGGCCTTTGCTCTCATTGTTACCCTGCCTATAGTGCTTTCCCCAGATACTAGCAGAGCTTCTGCATTGTCTTCTGTAGGTCTCCATTTAAACACCTGTAATATCAGTGAGGGCTCCCCTGACCACCTTTATAACACAGAACATTCTGCCTCCCTTCCATGACTACCTATCTTCATTATCCTTATCATCACTTTTCATATTATATTTTATTTATTTACTTTTCTGCCTCACTACATTGGAATATAAACTCCTTAGTCGAAAGAATTTTGCCTATTTTTTTTTTTACCTAGAACATTGTTTGACCTACTATATAAAAGATACTCAATATTTGTTGAATAAATGAAGGAATGAGATAAAAAGCATACATTCCAAAAGAAAATAGA